GTTGTTTTTTTTCTGGTACCAGGATTCGAATTCACAACCTTGCACTTCCCAGGCAGGCGCTGTGCCGCTGAGCTAAATCCCCAGCCCCTGAACCAGTTTTGAACAAATGGACTTAGTAGATGTCTACAGAATGTCCACCCCTCATCAGAATACACATTCTTCTCAGCTGCACTTGGGGCGTTCTACAGAACAGACCACATAGTAGCTCATAGAACATGCTTAAGTAAATCCCAGCACTCAGGAGGCTGAGGCAGGAGGATCGTCAACGAGCTCAAGGCCAGCCTGAACTGCATAGTGAGACCCTGTCTCAAAAAGACCAAAAAAAAAAAAAACATGCTTAAGTAAATGCAAAGGAATTAAAATTATCCTATGCATATTATCAGGCCATAGTGCAATGAAATCAGTGGCCAGAGAAACCACAAGGACTTCATAGGTATGTGGAAATTAAAAACCATCCTCCTGAACAACCAGTGGGTCACGGATGAAATTGAAGAATTAGTTTCTGCAATTAAATAAAAATGGCGGTACAACATACCAGAACCTATGGGGTACAGTGAAACCAGGGACATTTATAGCAGCGAATACCCGTATTAGGAAAACAGAGTAAGCACAAATAAACAATTTAATGGTGAACCTCAAACTTCTAGAAAAAGAAGAGCAGGCTAAGGCAAAAGCTCAAACAACGGAAGAAATTATAAAGATCAGAGCAGAAATTAACACATTGGAGACTAAAAAAATTCAAAGAATCAATGAATCAAAGAGTTGGTTCTTTGAAAGACTATAAAATTGACCAGTCTATATCCAACCTTGTCAAAATAAGGGAAGAAAAGACTCAAATCCATGCAGTTAGGAATGAAAAGGGTGAAACCACAATGGACCTGCAGAAATCCAGAAGATCATCTATACCTACTTTGAAAACTTGTATCTTAATAAGACGGAAAAAGCAGAAGAAATGGGCAGATTCCTAGATACATATGAATTACCAAAACTGAATCAAGAAGATATAAAAATCCTAAGTAAACCAATATCAATCCATGAAATTGAAGGTGCAGTTAAAAACCTACCATCGAAGAAAAGCCCAGGGCCTCACAGATTCACTGCTGAGCTCTGCAAGAAATTTAGAGAAGGCCTAACACCAGTACTTCTCAAACTCTTCCATGAAACTGAAAGGGAAGCAGTACTCCCAAATTCATTCCTGGAAACAAGCATTACCTTGATACCAAAACTGGAAAGGAGCCCAACTAAGAAAATGAATTACAGGCCGATCTACTAATGAACATAGATGCAGCCAGATGTGGTGGTGCACGCTTGTAATCCCAGCACTTAGGAGGCTGAGGCAGGAGGATAGTTGCAAGTTCAAGCCAAGCCTGGACTACAAAGTGAACTCAAGGCAAGCCTAAACTGCATAGCGAGACCCTGTCTTAAAAAGACAAAAAAAGATGCAAAAATCCTCAAAAAGATACTGGCAAACAATGCAGCAAATCATCAAGAAGATTATACATCATGACCAAGTGGGATTAATCCCAGGGATGCAGGGGTAGCTCAACATACACAAATCAGTAAATGTAATACATCACATTAACAGAGCCAAGGACAAAAATCATGATAATCTCAATAGATGCAGGAAAAACTTTGGACAAAGTCCAGCACCCATTCATGATAAAAACCCTACAGAAAATTGGAATTGATGCTCTTTATCTCTTTTTTTATTTGTTTTCCTGTACTGGGAATCAAACTCACGACCTTGCGCTTGCCAGGCAGGCATTGTGCCACTGAGCTAAATCCCCAGTCCCCGATGCTCTTTATCTCAACCTGATAAAAGCCACCTATGACAAA